CACTATTGCATGCTCATTCAAAGCAATTCAAGATGGTATATAATCTTTTTTTTTTCAAACATCAACAATTAATATAATATATTAATCACATCCATGGGTCAAACAGATATTCGATGCATGATGTTTAAAGATTTCCTGACTTAAGTGCCTCAATGGCGATGCTGTCCACAGAAACAACTAATGCGTTTGAATCCTTCTAGTATTTAAGGCAAGCTTTCGCAAGGTGTGCCATTATCTTCATCAATCTCTGATTCCTATTAGGGAAAAACAGTTTCTTTAAAAACGTGTTTCATACTGGTAAACCAATCAAATGTGAGCATATTTGGAAAATAAATAGAAAGCAATTGATCATAATTATACCACACTTTTAATTATTTAAAATGTTCAAAATTAAAATTTATAATATTTACTTCATTTATATTACATTCATTATTAAATACTAATTAAAAATATAGACAAAAAATTTTGATAAAAAAATTGTTTTCATGTTGCCTTTTGCTAGTAGTAGACCGTAAAAACTTAACATGTGCTTAAAAACAATTTAAAAATTCATAATTATTAAAACAAAATTTGTCTGTCTTAGCTGAAATACAAAAAATCTATCACTGAAAACTGTTTGCCTTCTGCTGAGAGAATTTCTATAATGCCATGAAACACCATTATATCATCTATTCACTGGACAGTTTGCACACTTTTTATAAGACAAATAACACAAATGAATGAACTTGGGTTAAAAAAAGAATGTGGTCACTTTCAAGTCGCCATTGAGTACATCTAGCCGGAGTTCTTTAGATTAACAAAAGTACAGTTTATATATAATATATAGTTATCTGTATATATACAAATAGTGGTACGTTAGTTATACATTGATAAACACACAGATTCATATGCTGTATGCCCCCTCTAACAGGTGTGTGAGCAAGTCTTTAATTATCTTTATATTACATATAACTGATAAAGACATATATATATATATATATATAATTATAATGTTATTACAGTGTATTATCATTAATTACTGTCAATCACTTATATTTTGCAAAATATATATTTCATTCTTAGTTCACAAGGGAAGACATGTAAATTTTAAATAATTTTGGGAATATTTATCCAAAAACAGATAAGGAACATATCATATTTCCACTCGAGAATATGAAATCCTTGTGAATGAGTTAAAATGGTGAAAACAATAATTCACAAAAAATAAGTGGTTAACAGTATTGATTTGTACAATCACACACTCTCACTGACGGACAGAATTAATTATACTGTAAGTCACCAATCAAAATCAACCATCAACCAGCAATCCTAAGCACGGAATTCACAGAGAAAAATGTTCTGCAAGAAAAAAACTATCGTTTAAGGAAACTGTTGAAATGAGACAGTAAACCGTAGGAAATTTATGTGAAAAATAAAAAAATATTTCGAGATAATCCTCAAGAATATTTATCAATGCAATCTTTTAAAATTGATGTCTTAAGGATTTTTTTCAGTGAGAAATTTATTTTTTAGTATAATTTTTTTCCAGTGCAAATTTGAATGTTTGTTGTGATTTTTAAAACTTTTATATTTTTTCATTGAGAGTGTTCAGGAACTTCCAATCAAAACATTGAAACTTTGTGTTCACAATGAAAAATATCACAATTTTCAGTTCCTTTGCTTTCAGGTAGTACAAAAGAAACTCAGTAGTTTGTTTGAATGTGTGGTTAATGGTTGACAAGAGGGACCTCTAGTCTAAACTAGTAGAGCCATGCCTTGTTGCCTGGGACCTCTGTAAAAGATAGTGTGTTAAAAAATTCCATAATTTTTTTTGAGAATTATTGCAAAAACACCACCTTACAGTAATACAATAATTAACATAACATGTAGTTTTTTTCTCTGTATTGTCTATCTAATCCTAATCGTTCAAGTTATATCCTCTTACAACACATCACCAAAATAACACTGATTTCACAAATTTCACTTTACAATGATAAAGCAAATATCTGTTTTTTTTTTTTTAAACCTTTCACATTTTAGAATTCATTTCTATCGAGTGGCACCCATTTACTGTGGTCATGTTTGTACTTTGGCCAGGCAACAAGGGGATGTAACTCTAAAAATACCTACAGCATGATATGTTTTCTCACCACTAATTTTTAGCACCTTTGGTACAAAGATATTTATGCAAGATTTCTGAAACCAAAAACTTGCTATTTGTCTGCCAATATATATATCATGGTCATCACATTCTAAATATGGAAATCTCAATATACAGATGAATCATATTCATAATTAACATCAAAGTGTACAGTGTTTACTATATATCCTCAACTGGCTAGTCTTATAACCAATTTAGTCATGAGTAAGGAAAACAGAAGAAAGACACCATCCAGTATCCTTGTTTCATATAAAAATAGTCACCATATTTATCCCTCAATAAGTGTAATCCTGTAATAAGCCTCTTTATATCTGAATAATTACCAACAAAAGCTTTTCTACAGTCTTTTCTTAAGTTAAAACTCTGACCAAGTCAGAAGTAATGATTGGGACACCTCAGACTTAATGAGGGATGGCAGATTGCTTGGCGCTTTCTCTAGCTTTGTGTTCAATCCGTCTTTATAAATTGCAGACATCTTTCAATGTTCCTGAATGGTAAATTAATGAATAAGTCCATTGTAGTATTATTTACTAATAAATCTCATTGATATTTTATGTAAACTTTTGTTGAAATTGAATACAGCAGTAAACAAAATCATCAAATATTTTTACAAGTTAAAATTTTTTTTAATGGTCAAAGTAAACAATCTTTTAATTTTAGAAACTGGTATCGTGCGTTTTATTCTATTTTCTAAAATCTTAATCATTATAAAAAAACCAAAACCAAGCTATTGTCATGAATCTTTTTAGTTACCATGCCAATGAAACACAGGACACTGGATGGAGATCAGAGATACAAAAAATGATTTTTATAACATTATTAATGATAAGAAATAAAATGTTTATAATGAACAATGGCATGGTATATCAAGATAAGTCATAACAAAACATCATTTAAGATTAAAAACGGACAAGTATGTTGGTACATAGTGATAACATCAAATTCTTCTGAGCAAGGGAGTCAATGTAACGGACACGGTGATTCAGGAGTTACACTACGGACAATACAGGTTAAACCATTACCATTGGTTGGTGAATTGTGCTGGTTTAAGTTAATAAACTGTGCATTCAGACCTAATTAATTTCATATTATAATATCTAATCTATCAACCTGACCCCAAATCTTACTCTAACATTACACATTCATCAAAAAAATTGATTTTACACTATGATAATAAAATGCTCTTTTTTTAAATTCTGAAATCAAATTTAAATAAGTGATGAATCTACTTAAAAGATATTCTACTCCTTATGATGAGAATAATATAAAAAATTAACATCAACAAACTGTTTAGTATCTCTCAATAATTTGTGCGAAATTGAACTCTTTGAGCTTTAGAGAAAATCAAAACTATTAAATGAAACACAATCATTTTTTTGCTATGTATTTCTTAATCAAAGAAAAAGTATTGATACCACAAAATATGAAATACCTCTGGTGCTTCAATTAACCGTTTGTGATGAAGAATTCCATAAATTATCTGAATTTGATAAAGTTTTAAATGTTTGTCGCTGTCAGTTTTAAGTTAAAAAAGCCACAGCAGGAAACAGATATTGCTTGGTAGATTTAGATTTCATTCAGATTTTAGATGTTTAGATTTCAAGCTAATTCCTTTAGATATAAAATAATTTAACATTATCTCAGAACGTAAATAAACTGAAACAGATTTAATGATGGTTTGAGCATTATTCTTCATTTCAGTATTGCATATATTTTGTGTTTGTGGAGTTATTTCCCTTTAATCAGCAATCTAGTAGCCTTTTTAGGGAATGTTGGTCAACAACAAAACAAAACATGAAAAAAAAACCTCAGTGATGCCATTCATAAACAGTCACTATAAGGCATTATAAATGATTGTTTGTTTTAATATTAATTCTTTGATTCATTTCATCAATATCTTTCTGAGAAGGGAAAAAAGAACATATTCATAAACAACATACTCCACATTTTTTTAAAAATGTACGGATGATAAAGTAATGAATCAACTATCTGATCAAAATTTATATCAATTTATACAAAAACAATTCATTATTGAGCATATTTCATAACAAATACATGTATCAATGTGTACTACATACTACAATACACACTAGAACGGTACATTATATGTGACATTCAGTCTCATTGTGTGTACTTAGGTATAGAATAGAGTCTTTGCCCTACAGTTATAAAAAAAAAAAAAAAAACACCACACAACCCAATAACATTTCCTCTGAGGACAGGGAAAGGAAAAAAAAATCTGTAAAAATTTCCTCCACACTACGAGAATCGACCAAGACTAGGATCCATATACATCAGGTCAGCCATTGCAAAAATCCTTCTCATCTATAAAACAGCGGAGTGGACAGAGATGGACATATGATCAAAACAACACAAGGAAAAACACCAAATGACCCATTACATGGTTCAAAGGTTCAAATTATACAAGTTTTTAAAGATTTTTTTTTTTTTTACACTTTTCTTGTTTGTGTTTTGAATTTCACATCACATTTAAAGTTAACAAATTCAATGATATCATTTCATTGAACTTTGACCTAAGACGACCTTTATGATTATGTAACAAATCAATGATAATATCATTCAATTGAACTTTGACCTTTAAATGACAACCTCTATAATTATATAACAAATCAATGATAATATCATTAAATTGAACTTTGACCTATAAATGAACTCTAGATTAAGTAACAAATCAATGATAATATCATTTTACGGAACAGAACCAAAATACATTAGAGTAACCACAAATGATAATATCATTAAATTGAACTTTGACCTTTAAATGAAGACCTCAATAATTATGTAACAAATCAATGATAATATCATTTAATTGAACTTTGACCTATACTATCCACTGTTCTCAAGTGAGTCTGGCTCCACCCCCTGAACATGTGGGGCTGAATGATGGCATCTGTTGAGATGCGTAGTTTTTTATATGCTGCAGACTTAGCAGGCTATTTGCCAGCATGCTGTCATGGCGGGTCATCGTTGCATTGAGATTTCGCTCTTGGGCATCCGCTTTGCGGAAACCGCCCAGAGGATCATATGGAAAGTAGCTACGGGAGGCCATAGAAGAAATATGTGGTAGGGAGGGGCTCAGAGAGTTGCTAGGCAACCCTGAACCATAATGGTAGTTAGAGTTAGTTGTACTCATGGGCACGTTACCACCAAACTGTGGAATAGGCATGAATGCTGACGATCCTTTCCCACATGGGGTTACACCACCATCTTGAGATCGGTCCGGTAGCCTGTTCACGCTGAAATCCTGCCCATTGGAATGATCATTTGGTTCTTGCTTGATTGGTCGCGGTGGAACTAGCTTGTTCATATTCATATTGTCCTGCGAGTGTTTTGCCATGTGACGCGTCAGGTATGTCTCCTGGGTGTATGACTTACCACATATCCTACAAATGTGAGTCTTCAAATGTTTAGTCTCTGAATGCTTGGGTATGTGATCACGTAGACCTTGTTCATCGGCGTAGCACTTGTAACAAGAGTTACACCGGAAAGGCTTGTCAGTCATATGTGAACGCGAGTGCGACTGAAGATTTGAGAGTTGCGAGAAGGCCTTGCCACACCCAGGGTGCATGCACTTGTACGGTTTTTCCCCAGTGTGTGTACGTATGTGCTGCTGAAGATGGGATAACTGTGTGAACTTGCGTTCGCATATTTCACACTTATACGGACGAATTCCCGCATGGATTCTGTTATGTTGCGACAGATAGGAGGAATTGGCAAAGCATTTCTGGCAAACAGGACAGTGATAGGGCTTCGGGTCCTGTTTGTGGATTTGCTGGGAGTGAATTAACATGTCCGACTTGGTTGTAAACACCTGCAATGAAAAACAGGAAATTATGAAATGAAAAATAAAACAATGTCAAAGTTATACACCTTTCAGCATATCAATTTGTTTAATCATGTTAAATGAGAATAAAATAAACCGTAAAGGGTTTTGTAATTTTTTCTTCCTCAAATTTAATGAGAAAAACTGTCAAACTCTTCTAGTATTTAGTAATGTGTGTATTTTGACAAAATAGTAAAAGATATCTTTTTAGTTTTTATATTTATATAAGAAGTGGCTGTTTGTGACAGTATAACTGCTTTCTATAAAACTGATGCCACACCTATATAATGACAATATTGGAATGTTAATTATTCATTATGTCTTTGATACTGATATTTTCTTGGTGCTGATGTCATTTCTTCACATGACATTTTGATAGAGCTTTGGAAAAGCATTTGAAAACATGCTTCTCCAATTATAAATCTAATATTCGGAGTAATTGGGGTAATGTAGCTTGCCCATGTATACAACCACTACAGCACAAAGCTGAACCGAACACCCCACAAATCTTCACCAGAGTTTGTGAACACACCTCACATGTCTTCACCAGAGGTTGTGAACACACCACACACATCTCTACCAAAAGATTGTGAACACACCACACACATCTCTACCAGAGGTTTTGAACACACCTCAATTATCTTCACCAGAGTTTGTGAACACACCTCACACATCTTCACCAGAGTTTGTGAACACACCTCAATTATCTTCACCAGAGTTTGTGAACACACCTCACACATCTTCACCAGAGGTTGTGAACACACCTCATATGTCTTCACCAGAGTTTGTGAACACACCTCACACATCTTTACCAGAGGTTTTGAACACACCTCAAACATCTTCACCAGAGGTTGTGAACACACCTCACATGTCTTCACCAGAGGCTGTGGAGGCCAACTCTTTGGAGCTATTGCCCCTTCACATTCAAGCATTTAAAAAAACCACATAAACAATCATTTGACATGATAAATACATATTTACCAATATATCAGCAATACACACAGAACTCTCCAATTTCGACTTAGATAATGCATTTAACATTACTGAGACAGTTATCTCCTTTATTTAAGACATAAAAATTGTGTATTTACACAAAATAACAAAATTAGAATGCTTCTGATATGTTATACTTTAAGTATCCAGCATTAAATCCATCCCTGGTCATATATAAGCTATAGCAAGCCCATACCTAATACTGTTCAGTAGAACACAAAACAATTAAAATGATTTTTCAATGTTCTATGATAACCTCACCTACATCTTATACTGTTCTGAAGGATACAAAACAAAAGCTTTTTCAATTTCCTCCATTAAGCCAACCCCCAGATGTTGAGTCATAGGATTTAATTTTGGCCTTCCTTGGTTTATTGAAGGATAAATATGGTATCATTTTACAGGGGTTACCTCCCCTAGCCCATACCTAATCTCTTTCTAAAGGGATTTTTCATTATTTAATAATTATTTTTTTGTAAGGTATTAGCTACATCATTAAGGAAAACTCATTAGAATTCCCAAAAATAATTATCCCTAGATTTAATTCAACTGCATAATTCGACATAGTCTTTGTCTATAATATATTTAAAATTGAAAGACATTTAAGTTAGTGAACCAACAAATTAACTACTTCAACTGCACACATGTGATACAGTTCATGATTTTAACAGGTGTATCCAAACGCTTGCATTAACATGATATAGAGAAATCTAATGTAGGTCTTTCAAAAAGTTATTCAAATTTTCATATTTTTGAATTTAAAAACAAGAGCTACAGTAATTTATGATCTAATGTACCTTACCAATATATATATGTTACACTTGATCCAAGTATTTCTATCAAAAACGCTCTGCTGTGGAAATTGAGCTAATTGTAGAATTTTATCAGTGTAGGACTCTCAGCAGGATTATGTAATCAAGACCAAGAGATACTCCTAGGTTCTTATCATTGCCTTGGTTTTTACCACCCAAGTTTAGCCTTGGGCGGTTATCTCGTCAAGTGAGGAGAAATATACAGCTCCCTTGAATCAACAGTGATGAACTACATTGCTCGTATGTTCTTCTTGCTAGATCAAAAATCTTACCACTATCTTAAAAAAAAAACAACATTATCACAATCTGAGTCATAGATTACATTTTGACTTATTACAGGTTGATGTTCTTTAGCTGTATCTGCAGCTGAAAAAAGGGTGTGGGTTTTTGTGTGTAGGGACTTCTATACTTAACATAAAATACAGTTTGGTTGGTAACCATCTGATTGTATAACATTGTGGACCATAGCTCAGCATGTTGTCAAAAACTGTCTGGGTTCTCTAGCAAAAAACATATGGCTGTGATTACTTATGATAAAAACCTTAGCACTAGGAATTACCCATAAACATGGGGCTTTACACAGAGGGGGTACTTCTAGTCCTTCTGCCAACAGTTACATAATTCTGTCGCCTGTCAATCAAAATTTTGAGGGTCAGGCAAGGTCAAGTAGTTTCACAGTCGCCTGTCTCGTAACTCCCATTACGAATATCAATGACTGTAATGACGGATGGTGTAGTTCATTATTTTCTTCCTGTGTTAAATGAAAAAACAAATGTTTTTCCCTTGAAAAATTTATTTAAGGGCAATACATAGAAAAAAAAAAAAAAAACTTGGCATTTTGACTTGCGTTGATTACTTGGCGATAAATAACGGCTATTTGTTCTGGGTAAGTGAAAATATGTAATTGATGTTGATTTGAGCGAAATTCCAGTCATAAGCCTTGTTGTCATTATGTTGAACCTTTATCATAAAGTCTATGAAACAGTCTGTTTAGTCAGACAAATACAATTTGAGACAATTACCGATGGAAATCATAATGTTTTGATGTAAATTAGGAAATTAAATACAGCACTGATATATTAAACTGAATTTGAACAAGTTGTTTGATTTGTTGATTTTAATGTATACAAGAATGATTTTGTTTATTTTTCTTGAGAAAAACCAAAATAGTTTTTCTTTTCTGTTAGATACTATTGAAAGAAAAAAAATTAATGTATTACTTTTATTTCAATACATTAAACATACAAATTATATGCAACACCTTCAAAATGAAAGTGTCATTTTTAAATATTCATAATGAGATAAAATCATAAAACATTTGCACTGTTTTATCTTGATACCATATTTGGAATTAAAATCGTTTGAACTAATATAAGAAATTTACAATTCCCTAGAATATTTCATGACAGCTTAATTGTGCTATACAAAACAAGAAAGTATTTTGTTGAATCAATTTTTCACTCTTTCCCGTATCCTAGTACAGAGGGTGTATTTATTGACACTTAAGTTATCATTACCCAAAGGCCTCTTCTACTAGAGCCTCTCTGTAAGATCTAATAAAGATAAAATAAGACAATAAAATTCTCAGAAAGAAATCTGAAACGTTTTGAAATAAATTGTTAAGATAGAAAAGTTTTTGATATGACATGCTTTGAGATCTTAAAATATGAGTGGAAGGGAGAACATGTCAGAATGTAGGTATCGAGTGTCTGTTGAATGAAACTACCATTTCCCTGATTCACTCCATCAAATCGCTAACCATGGTTACGAAATTTCGGAAGTTGCTTTCTTAAATCTAATTGCTGATAGAAAGTATCCTGTTTGAAAAGATGTACATATTCCCAATGTCAAAGAAAGGAATTTATGTTGATTCAATTTGAAAGTATTTTTCTTCGACTTTTAAAGATAACTGCTACCTAATTACAGTGATTAAAATGCACCTCCAAATAAAAGAATTCCAAAATACATATAAAAAATGATCTTTCATTTAGCTTTTATGTTTTGTTGATTATGTATGTTAAGAATTAATTTGTGGAAATGTATCGAGTGATTGATAGCATTCTATCAACACTGACATGTCATAAAATGTTAAATAAATATAAATGAATAAAGATGACTCTAATGCCGACTATAAATACAATCCCAATATGTCTGGTTCGTAAATTTTACAAGTAAATTTTTAGCACCTTGCTAGTCATGAAATCAGTAGAATCCCAAGGATCATAATTTTTGTTTTATGTTTTTACATTGCAGATCAATTAATCCATTATACAGTGGTATGAAATCTGTTTGATACATTTTCAAATATCTAAATTTGGTCACACATCCTTTCTTCTGAAAAGTTCAGAAACTGAAAAAAATTAACAAAAAAAAAAAAAATAAGCGGATGAAACTACAGCCTAAAGAGGTTTTGATTTCAGATTATCAGTAAAAGCTTTTCAAATGGATAGATTTAAGTACTGCAGAACTTTCTTAGACTGCTTACACCTATACTGTGTCCAAATACTCTTTCAATCAGATTCTGGGCTTCAGCTCAAAATATTTTCCGAGATAATGAAAGATATTTTCTTCAAACAGAATTTAATATAAACAGATAAAATATTTCAACCTGGAAAATAAGTTGAGCTAAAAAATTGGGGATATTTACATACAATGTTTCTTAATAAAATTACACCCCCATTCCCCATTCTCTTCTTAACTCCAAAATAGTGCATTCCGTAGGTTAATCAACACACAGTAAATAGATGTTTCTGTCACAAGTTTACGCTATACAATTTACCAGACGTAAAGGAATCAATTTTCTAGCTGATCAGCCATAACAAAATGCTATAAAATGGTAATGACATGTCACTATAAATGACTGTACAAGGCACAGGCTTCTGGAGTTCCCTGCTTAACCTTTTCTTCAGTTGTTTTGTCTGTCTGTCGCACATACCATTACTCTCGAACTCTGACTTAAAGAAAGCCTATAGTTAAGAGACGTATTGATTAAAATCTTATTCTTCTTGTGATCTCAATATCCATTACCTTGAAAAATTAAAAGCAATTTTCTCTTTAATTTAATGCTACAGGAAGAGCTTGCTTTCCCCTTTACCAGAGGCTATTTTCTGAAGATGCATGCATGTCGAGCAGATACTAGGAAATCAATAATAGGGGATGACGCTTGGTTCTCGGGATACATAA